GAAGTGTGGTCTGAGGGTGTGATGGTGTTGGATAGGTAGTGGTGGTCTGGAAGGATGTTGCAGTGATAGGACTTGTGGAAGAGATGGGACTACTCTCTGTTGGTGGGGAGTGTGTGGTGAAGGGTGTGGGTAGCCTGCTGCTGGTGGCTGAGGTGGTGTGGGCCACAGGAGTGCCAGTTCCTGTAGTGGTGGGATTGGGGGTGATGGTGGTAGAAGTTGGAGTGACTTGAGGATGGTGTGTGGAGGAGGTGTGTGAATGTAGGGGTGTAGAGGTTTTGGCTGTGCTGAATGAGCTGTGTGCTTGGCTGTTCCCACTGGTGGTTGCCGTTATTTGTGGGGATGTGTGGGTGGACCCTGTGGCCTTGACCGTTGTCGGTGGAGGAATGGTGCCTGTTGGCGTTGAGTGGATGGAGGCAGAAGTGGACATCCGTGTTTGGGTAGGTGTGATGACTGTGTGAGTAGTTGGAGTCACCAAGGAGGTGAAGAAAGGTGGAACGTGAGTAGGAAGTGTAGTCTGAGAGTGTGATGGTGTTGGATAGGTAGTGGTGGTCTGGAAGGATGTTGCAGTCATAGGACCTGTGGAAGAGACGGGAGTGCTCTCTGTAGGTGGGGAGTCTGTAGTAAAGGTTGTGGGTAGCCTGCTGCTGGTGGACGAGGTGGTGTGGGCCACGGGGGTGCCGGTTCCTGTACTGGTGGAGTTGGCGGTGATGGTGGTAGAAGTTGGTGTGACTTCAGGATGGTGTGTGGAAGAAGTGTGTGAATATAGGGATGTAGAAGTTTTGGCTGTGCTGAATGAACTTGGGGCTTGGCTGGTCCCACTGGTGGTCACCGTCATTGGTAGGGTTGTGTGGGTGGACCCTGTGGCCTTGACCGTTGTTGGTGGAGGAATGGTGCCTGTTGGCGTTGAGTGGATGGAGGTAGAAGTAGACCTCTGTGCGTGGGTAGGGGTGATGACTGTGTGAGTAGTTGGAGTCACCAAGGAGGTGGAGAAAGGTGGAACGTGAGTGGGAAGTGTGGTCTGAGGGT